CGGAGCAGGGAGCCCGATGTGGGGCTCGATCCCAGGACCCTGGTATCATGACCCAAGCCGAAGGCAGATGCCTAACGACTGAGCCACCCAGGTGCCCCAAGTTTAATATTTTAAATGAAAAAAATAAAAGTTTTAATTAAAAATGGATTAATAAATGTTTTAATTGTCTGTTTTTAATTAATACATTAAATATCAATAGAAAGAAACGTGTGAACCAAAGTTCTTTGGGTCTGCAATGATTTTAAGAGTGTTACCATGGCCCTGAGACCAAAACATTTGATAATTGCTGCCTTATGGCATAAACTTCTTCAAGGAGTTTATAGTCTGTATGTGGAGACACATGAAATAGAGAAAATACTTCACTGCATTCATTCATTCATTCATTCATTTGTTTGTTCATCATGGTGTGCCTGCCATGGATCAAAACACTGGGGATAGATATATAGCAGTCAAACAAAACAGCAAAATGCCCTGCCCTTCTGGAGCTTAAATTTTAATGGAATGAGTGAGATAGACAATAAAGACATAAGTAAATATATACACAATATTACAGAGTCATATACATGGAGAAAAATAAGCAGGGAAGGGGTTGGGGACTAGTCTTGGATAAACAGTATGTTTAAATAGGCTGATCAGGAAGGCCTCACTGAGGTGACACTCGGGTAAGATCTGCAGGAAGGGAGGGAGGAGGCATGTGGCTATCTCAGGAAAAAATGTTCCAGGTAGGAGTAATAGCAACACGCAAAGGCCTAGCATATTTGAAGCATAGACTGGGGGCCACTGTGCCTGGAGTGTGGAGGGAAAAGGGGAGAACAAGGGATGGAGTCAGCCAACAGGTAAGGAAGGGACCAGATGTGTAGGATCTGGTGGACCCCTTAGCATGACTTGAGCTTTAACTTAAATAGCTATCATCTACTGCAGGCCTTCTGTATTCAAAGCACTATACCAGCTACTTAATCTTCTTATTTTGAAAACAGTTGTACTGTTTTTATTAAAAAATTAAATGTAAAAGATGACCAGTATGACCAGTGAAATATTCAATCAATATTAAAAAAGAAGTAAAAATTATCCCAAATTTATTTACTTTTGAAAATAACTCTATGAAATAAATATTCTTGGCTCCATTTAACAGAAAAGGAAACAAGCCAGAGAGGAGCTAACCTCCTCCAGATGGACATGTTGCTCAGACACAAGGATCCAGCCTTACCCACAACCTGATAGTACTTTCCATGACTTCATTGTACTTACTTGGCAGAGGTATGGGTTTGTGATGGATTTGTCTGAAAGGAAGAAGTCCAGATTAATTAAAGGGCAAAGCACAAGATGAGTAAGTTTGACATTTTGCTTGCACCAAAGATGCTCTGAGCAGGGGCATCACCCAGGAGTCAACACAAATGGCCAATAAAACATATCTAAAGATAGGAAAGGCATCAAAACCTTCAAGGTAAGTAGAACTGTCCCCTTTAGTTTTTAAAAAGGAAGAGACTTGACTGAAGTGTTAGATTTTGGTTAAGACCGATAATTAACCCAAATATTACATCTTTGTGGTTCTAAGCAGTTCTTTTAAAGTTTTCTTCCTATTTAACACCTTTGAAAATTTAATGAGCACTGGATGTTATATGCAACTGATGAGTCACAGAACTCTACCTCTGATACTAATAATACACTATATGTTAATTAATTGAGTGTAAATTAAATTAAAATTTAAAAAATTTAATTGCAGTGCAATGAAATGTCAGATCTTTACCAAGCCAGTGTCACTATGCAGTGTGACAAAACAGGTGTTAGGGAAACTTATTTTTAAAGGAAAGGATTCTTACTTCTGGGCAGGAGGAAACACTGATGACTGCATATTTTCTTGTCTGTGGCTAGCTGTTCGGTGGCGCTCAGCAGGTACAGGTTTTTCTGCATTAAGAAAATGCTCATATTAGGCTAGAATGAAATGTCTGTCTCCATGTCCAACCCAGCAACATCATCGGAGAAGAACTGGATTCGGTCTGATGTCTTCCCATGAACATGTCTTTCACCAGGATGCCATCTGTTTATGCACCTGACCGTCTGGTGATGTGTCTGCACGAGCAGGAGCAGGACTCCTACCAAGCAAAGTTACAGGCACACCTTCCCATTCTGTAGCAATACCCATGGGGACTGAGCCTATGGGGTGGCCCTTTAAGTGTGGGAGTATAGGTGGAAGTCAGAGACAAACCAGTTCGAACCACGCTGGTGTCCCCCACACAGGTGTTCCAATACCCTGGCGTATCTTCATTAGTCACAAGAGGTGGTATAAATAATTTTTACTGGTAAGAGGTAAAATATCAGAGTTTGCTGATAATCGACTCTTTTTGAAAAATTACCCGAGCAAATTCAAGGTCAGCCCTATAATAATGTTCATCTCACTTGCATTTCACTGTGTTTTCCTGAGTGGGAGAGGAAGGGGTGGAGTTATAACCGGTACGCAGGGAAATGGGTGTAACCTGAAATGTAAGAAATTTATGTTGAATTAAAAAAAAAAAAAGAAATTTATGTTGAACACAGTGAACCTTACTGCTGAACCATTGATGAATGTGATTATAAATTATTTTAATGCTTTATTCTTCCTCAAATTTGGTCCAGGGTGTGTTAAAATCTGGGTGTGTCTATGGGTGTGTGTCCCACATGGAAGAAAGGTGAACTCTTGGTCTTCCATCACAGGAACCCAAAAAGAATAAAAGTCGTATCAACTCAAAGATCCAAATAAATGGTAAGACAGACTTCGGGGTTTCTTGTAATGCAGCGAAATTCGGAAGCCTTGAATCCCTGAAGGATGTTTTAAGTCTAGGTCAAGTTACTTAGAGCGACCATGTGAGATATTTTGTTCATGACATTACAGCTTGGTAATTTCAGAAGGAGAAACAGTAAACACACTTGGTTCCCACAGCCTGCTGAGCTTTGACCACTCTGCTTTGCCTCTGCAGTCCCGGAGGCTTCCTTCCTTCCTTCCTTCCTTCCTTCCTTCCTTCCTTCCTTCCTTCCTTCCTTCCTTCCGTCCTTCCTTCCTTCCTTCCTCCCTAGGTGAGAAGATGCTGCTTACCTGCACTGGGTTTGGATGATGGTTGCCTTTGTTCTTGAAACAAGTCACAAAACTGATGGCATGCCAAGCTCTTGCCCTAGGAGCCCTTTGGCAACAAGGACACCCAAGCTGCATGCCATGAGCTCCTTCTCTGCTGGTTTTCAAAGGCCCCTGAAGCCAGTGGAATCTGCACAGGGTCGAGCTTACTTCCTGCAGAAGCTCACCCTAAGATTCCACTATTACTTGAGCTCCCTGCTCAGCAGGCATGGAAGACTGTAAGGAATGGAAGGACAGCAAGGCAAAAGCCTCAAAGGACAGGCAGATGAAAGAAAGCAAGACAGCAGAAAGGGAGGGATACCTCAGAAATAGCCTGGAGAAAAAAAGATGTGGGAAACAGATATAAATAACCCCAGTGGAGCAGTTAAAGCAGACAGGCAAGTTGTAGGACACATTCAGAAAATGTCCACTGTCCATCATCAGAGAAACCAGGACATTTTATGGAGATGTGCCCACGTGAACTCAGGAAATGGGGAGAACACTCATTAGTGTTAGAGTTAGATGGGTTCAGGATTCTAACTTCTTTATAGTGTTTTAAGTGTTGGGATTATGGGTAATTCTTACTTCTTTCTGTTTTCTTCCCCCCCACCAGTATTTTTCAAATACGAGTATTTTTTTAAATGGGAAAATTCTAATTAAAAGTATATGTAAGATTTTTAGGCTATGGTAAGACAAAAAACATTTGGAGATGTATTAAAACAGATATTCGAATTCAGAAAACATTATTTTGAAAACTTAGCAAAAGAACTTGTTCAAATAAACAGATTTTTAAAAATTTCATTACCTTAACTAAGCTATTAGTTCTAAGATATGTGAATAAGGCTTCATATCTTTGTAAGGCCATGGCACTGTTTCTGGCAAGTCATATGTCTACAGACAGGCAGGTTTGGGGCATGTGGACTATAGCCTTGCCCCAAAGACACTGACATGAAAGCTCAGGTCCTTACTACTCTTTGCAAAGTGAAGGCCATTTTGTTTAGAAAACTGAGTTTCATATATACAATTGCCTTTTAAATAGTGAAAGCAATTTAGAAACACACTTATGTACAAATCCCTAATTCAAATAACTTTAAGAGGACACCCTCGTCCTTCAGAATAATATAGATTTACCTTCACAAACACTTGTGGCATTCTGTGGAGAGGCAACTGAAGTCTATTAAAAAAAAAAAAAAGGCAAGGATATTCAATACAATGGAGTGTAGAAATAAATGTCAAAGCAATATTACTAACATAAATATTTGGGGAGGACATTTCTTTGATGCATAGCTCTTCTTTCAATCACAAAAACAATAAAAAACACACCGTTCCCAGCCTAACCTTTGCCTTCCACAACAATGGATCAGGAGTAGGTCAGGGAAGGCTCAGTGTCATCCTGGTGTAGGGACTTCTCTGCTCAGTCAACAGGGCTGATGGATACTGTGACCCCCAGTAGCTGCTGACCAGTAGGTCTTGCACAGTGGGGAAGAGGCATCTGGCTTTGGGCTTAGGGCCCCACCTCAGTGTTTGCTAAGTGACCGTAAATGTCAGGCTAGGGAGTAGGTACTAGGTCAAGGTGGGCTTCCTCAAATAGTGGGCTGGCCCAGGTTTCCCGCATTCTGGCCAGAATCTGAGTTTAGTTAAGCCTATATGCGCCTGATACACCATTAGCCTCCCAGGCCAGCAGATGGAAAACAGGCTCAGGGGCTCCCCGTGGGGAAGGCAGATGTCAGGGGAGGCAGGGAGCCTGGCTTCCACCTTGGATCTGCCGCTTGCACTCAGTGAAGCCACACTGAGTCAAGTGAGGATGAGCTCCTCCCCTGCAGCATCTTCCCTGGCTAACCAAGAATGCAGAATTTCTCTTGGACTGTCTGGGCAGCAACTTCAGTTGCTAAAATTGCTGCGTTCACCTTAGCCGGAAGCATTGTCAACTTTAAATAAGGGAATAAGCATAAGCATTGCAGGAAATATGAAACACATTTAAATGCAAAATTAACTTACTGTCTTCAGGGGTGTAGCTGGTTTTTTCCTGGGGGATAAAAAGATGGGGCTTTGTTAAAGCATAATAAAGATAAAGTGGAGCTGACTACTTATCATTTTACTCTCGAATTTAAACTAGAATAATAAACGTGATATGAGTGTGTTGGACGACTGTCCTTGAAGGGCAGAGGGGGATGGAAACAGGATTTAGCCGTGATCCTCCTAGCTTCAGATAGGGTCCACTGACAGATGGCAAAGAGTTAACTGGAGATAAACAGAAGCACCAGTTGCCAGGGAGTGGGGAAACTGAATTCTTCTTCCAGTTCTGCGGCTGATGACTCTGTGACCTCAGGCCTCTTTCTCTCGCCTGCGAGGCCTGGTGGAGCTTTAAGTTTCCTTGTCTGTAAAATGAGTACTACCATCAGTATTTTCAAAGCGCGTATGCAGAGCCCTCCCAGCCTCCAAGGGCACCTTCGGGCTACTGCCTGGGGCTGCGGGTGGAGATAGGAGGATGGCCCAGCAGGGGAGGCAGCCCCCAGCACCTCCTTGGCCAACTGCTGCCCTGCTCAAGTGACTTACTCTCTACTAGGATTTCATCCTGAACAGGGAAATCCAAGACCAACACACGTGTGAAAATCACCATGATCTGTGGTCCTGAAGGGGTTATCTGAGCTAGCGCTCTGATTTGCCTTGGTTCCGGTAGAGACTGTAATCTAATATTTTAAGGGTATATGCTTCTCTTTTGTATTTATTTTAAAGACTCTCTCTCACCTTCTCTCTCCCTCTCTCTTGCTTTGTTTTTGGCTGAGAGCTGGAATACTGGGGGAAGAACACTAAATTCCTAAGTGCACTGGGTTAGGCTTTTCATCTGTTATTTAAACCTCACAGTGACCTCTAAAAATGGATATTATTGTTACATTTTAGAGATTAGGAAACTGAGGCTCAGAGAGATTAAGTGACTTGTGCAAAGTGATAAAGCTGAGCCAAGGGAGAACTTTTGGTTAATAGACCCTTGAACTTAAGAATGTCTTTGCTTTGGGGCGTCTGGGTGGTTCAGTCGGTTAAGTGTCCGACTTTTGGTTTTGGCACAGGTCTTGATCTCAGGGTCGTGAGATCAAGCCCTGCTTCAGGCTCCAAGCTCAGTGTGGAGTCTCCTTAAGTTTTTCTCTCTGCCCCTTTCCTTGACGCGCTCTCTCACCCTCTCTCTCTCTTTCTCTCTCTAAAATAAATCAATAAATCTTTTTTTTTTAATTTTTTTTATTATT